AGAAGAAGAAGAAGAAGAAGAAGAAGAAGAAAAAGAAGAAGAAGAAGAAGAAGAAAGAAACATGTTTTCAGGGACGTCTGTCCCCATCTGTCCCACCTTTGACTGGCAGGACTTGCTGTTGATCTGAACAGCAGTCATTTTAACGTGTTAGCCAAGGACTTTTCCTTTAAGTTACATCTAGTTGTTTACTGGGGGGATGCATGTGGCATGGCATACATGTGGAGGTCAGAGAACAACCTGAGGGCGTCTGTTCTTTTCCTCTGTCACAGGGGACCTGGGAATGAACTTGGCTGGTCAGGCTTGGCAGCCATCTCACTGGCCCAGGATTATTGGTTTTAAAATACCTCGTGTAATATTTCTCACTTTACCTTTAAAATCCCTCCTTGCCTCAATGTCCCATAAACTCAGTGGGGTCCATGCATTCCCATTGTAATATTTTGATACCCACTGAAAACCTTATTAATCTTTGGAGAAACTATCTCTGCGTTCTTTAGGTCAACAGCTAATCCTGCTTTAATGTGACATTCTAAACATATTCAAATCAATACAAAAAGTTCATAATAAACACAACATCAAAACATTAAAATAAGCAGTAACAGTGTCCCACTGAGCCATCATGGAACCCAGACCCAGGGAAAACTGTAACCCTGACCTTTGATATTTGTTCATCAATAATTCTTTTGCAGCATTTTTTAGTTTTTAAAGACACTGCATTAAAACATTATTGTGTTGGATCACTGAACTTTCTGGTGTCCCTATAAATGCCACACCCCTGTCAAGTGCCTCACCTGCTTTACCTCAGTTCTATAATTATTACACGAGACAACACACATGCAGCATGTCATGGTAGGTCCTCCATAGACATGTGTGTCCCCCTCCTTCCTGAAGGGTGGTTACCAGAAGCCAGGAGAGGGGAGACCCCACCAGGACCCAGCGTCTGTGCTGAAGGGTCTCAGGGGAGCAGGCAGGAAGAAAGGAAACAAGCGGGGGAGGGTGCTCCCCCATCTTCTCCCTGCGGTCCCCCAGCCTGGAGCTCCGGGATCTATTAACAGCGTTGTGCGGCACCACACCACACTGCAGGAAGTTTGTGTCACTTCGCGTCCTCCGCGGCTGTGAGGTGGGGACTTGGCTTTGCTCCTGTGCTGTGGAGAAGGGATGAACCCCGGCCCCAGCTGGCAGAGCTGGGCAGACCCAGAGTCTTCCCTTGTCAAGCTTGGGCACTCGCCACTGTCCCGAACACAAGGTCGGAAAAACCCCACTGTGGGATACTGGAACCTAAGGGAAATGACCTTAGGTTTTAGGAAATTAACCTTCTACACATTTTATTTCACCTTTTACTTCTTTTGTGTGTTTTATGGTATATATCTATACTCCCAATAGTGTATGTATATAATTGTGTGTGTGTGTGTGTGTGCACATGTGCCTGTGTGCACGCACAATATTTCCATCTCATAGAGGTGTCGATCAGCAGTATCCACAGGCCCACACTGTTCTGAGTAAACAGGACCTCTCTCCACAGCTCAGCTGACAAAAGGCTTTTATGTTCATTATCCTGTTTGAGCTTACGGAGAGTTAGCTAGAGGCTGTCTATTCCTGTTTTTCAGGTGATAAAAACTGAGGCTCAGAGGAGTTGAGCAGCTTGTCTGAGGTCACACAGCATGCAAAAGCCAGTGTGGCCCTGGAGCCCAGGACTGGGAACTCTCAGGATCAGCCCCTTCAGGGATGAGCTCCAGCCACCCCACTCTCCTGCATGACCTCAAGCATGGTATCCACCCCTTTCTTGCCTCTCTTTCTTTACCACAGGCTCACCAATTGCAACACAGGACTATACCGCCATGGGGGTGTAGACTGGAACACTCACGGCAGAGGCGGGGGGTCCGCCAGTCAATGACCACCCCGTGCTGGCAGCACTGATGGGCGTAGGCAGACACGCTGGCACAGAAACACTCACAGTCACCACCTCGGCTGCAGCCGCACGTGTCCGTCAGGCAGTTTGAGTAAAACCATGTGACATCAACCTGGGGAGGTCAGAGGATTCCGAACGTCAAGCCTGCATCCTTTCTGCGACAGCACCATGTAAAGATGGCCCCAGGTAGGATGAGCTGTCCGCATGGAATCAGCCCAGGATGCTGGACTCGGGGGGACTAGGGAACCGACAAAGCACAGACAGAGTGTGACCTGCCCAGCCAGGCTGGAGACACAAAGGCCAGGCTGCAATGGTCTTTGAAGCCCTGGAGGAGCCACGTGGACCTGAACCCCGGCCTCCTCATCCCATGGCGGCCGTGAAAAGGCAGGGGTGCAGCAGGGGGTCAGTGCTCACTCTGCAACAGAACTTTGCTCGTGAGCAGGGAGAGCCAGGTCTAGCTGGGCTTGCGGAGAGCAGAGGCTTGGCTGGCTGTCCCGGGGTGGCAGGGACTTGGGGAAGGATCATCTCAGCAGAGCAGAAGCAGGAGAGGGGAGGAAAAGATCCCCCCTCTCTCTGTTTGTTTTTCGAGACAGGGTTTCTCTGTAACAGTCCTGGCTGTCCTGGAACCCACTTTGTAGACCAGGTTAGCCTTGAACTCACAGAGATCCGCCTGCCTCTGCCTCCCGAGTGCTGGGATTAAAGGTGTGCACCACCCCCAGTCTCCCTTCTTTCAAGGGAGTCTTTGAGAAGGAGAGGTCCTTGGAAGGTGGGAGGGACTTAGGAGGGGCCGAGGGGGGCCCACTTAACACAGGCACTCACCACGGGGTGGCAGGTCTCGAACACCTCACTGAGCAGAATAGCACACTCCTTCCTGGCAAATGGTTCTCGGACAGGATTCAGGACACACGTGTCCCGGGGGTCTGGGGTATCTGGGCACTGCAGGATAAAGGAAGAGCCGCACTATGGCACCGAGCAGAGATCTCCCTATCCCTCAAGTGCCTGTGCCTGGTCACAGGGAGGCCCTGAGACTGCCCTCTTGGTATCCACATCCTTGTTTAATCCCCTCCCCTGGAGAATGGGAGCAGCCTCCAACCTGCTCCCAACAAACAGAATACCAAAGGTTCTGGGAACACACCAGGTTGGGTATCTGTGATCACATGATTGCATCAGATGAGGTCCCAGAGCCCACCTCCCTGGGAGTCTGTCCTTTACTGGTTGTGAGGAAGCAGGCAGCTATGTTAGGAACCCACGTGACAAGAAGTGAGTGGCCTCTAAGAACTGAGGGTGCTCTCTGGCTGACAGCTACTGAAAGCCAAAGGTTTCAGACCTACAGGTCCAGGAGTGGAGATGACCCACAGCCACCCACATGTGGAGCCTCTGGGTGAGAGCCCAGCCCTGGATGTCACCTTGAGCGCAGCCTGTGGGACACAGAGTAGAAAACCCATGTTCTGATTCCTAAGCACCAGGAACTGAAGTGTTGCTTAGTGGTCTCGAGTTGACCACCACTGTTACACAGCAAAGGGTGGTTAACACATGTTTCTCAGAGCTGGTCCTACTTCCCCTGGCCTATATTATTATGCACTGCCTCCCCAGCATGCCTAAAGTTATAAGCAATAAAGAAATATGGACTGGTGGGGAGGGGATTCACAAATAAAAAAATCAGTCACCCATTCAGTTTTTCTAAAATGGGTGTGGGTGCCATGCCCAACTGCTCTGCCTCCCCTCTCTATCTATCCTCCTGCAAAGAACAAGATGCACTCAGTGCAGGCAAGTGATATGTATAACAGTCATATCACAATTCTCCATTGCTGCACCCAAGGCAGACATAATTAATCAATCACAGACCTTAGATCTTTTTCTCAGTGACACTTTGCAGGCAGCCTCTTGGGACTGATGAGAGTTGTTAGGGGTCCTCTCCTGGAACAGCCCCCTCACTTCAATGGAAGACTAAGTTCATCCAGAAAGCCCAAGATAAGACAAGACAAGAAGTCGAGTTTCCTGCTCTCAGTTTAGTGCAGTTCCCCCGACAGCTTGGCAGCGTCAGGCACCTTCCAACCCTCAGGGATGCCACTATGCTTCTGCTCATGGTCTCCCTCCAACACAGCCTATCTGCTAAATTCCACCCTTGGCCTCACCTTCTCCACGATGCAGTCGCTGAGGACTGCCTCAGCCTACAGGATTCTCTTCTCTGTTGTCCTAGCTAGTGCCGAAAGTGGTGATGGTGGAGAAGGTGGACCAGCCTGCCAGGTTCCACAAGCCCTGCCTTCCACACGAGGGGGCTCCCTTGCCTAGCATAGGAACCCCATCTTTTCCAAACATTTTACCAGTCACATTTGGCCAAGGGCAGGGTGGGCAGGGACAGAATTTCAGGCTACGAATACCAGTCAGAGGCAGAGGGCATTCCCAGGAAGGGCTGCACACCAATATTGCTGCACACCGATATTGCTCTCCCCTGACTTGGACCCAGGATCCATATGGCCCATCTAAGAGAGTGAGGGGCACCGGCCAGCTGGAAGTCCTTACCTCCACTGCAGCCCAACTGCTGCCGAACTCCTGGGGGTTCGTCAACTCCAGGTTCTCTGGGGTCCTCATCTCATTGACAGTTTTCAGGTCAAAGTTCCCACAAAGGCCCACCAGCTGACCCTGAGGGGGGGGGGGTCCCATGTCAGCTGCCGGTACAGCAGGGCTGAGCTGCAGCACCAAGGCTGCTGATCCAGGACAAGGGTGGGGAGAACGCTTTAAAGAGGGATGGGGCAAGGCCAGAGAGAGCTGCCAGAGCAGAATGGGTAGCAGTGGACAGGAGGGGATTGTGATCCTCTCAGGCCCTCAGAGAGGGACATCTCAACCAAGGGCAGCAGCAGCCTGCCTTAGCCCTGGACAATGGCGGAAACCGTGGTGCTCAGGTCTCACGACTACCTGCCACTGAGGGCCGGCCTGCACGTGCACAGTGGTTCTCTGGTCCCATAGGAGGGTGATGTGCTCCCGTGGGAAATGCACCAGTGTGAAGAAGCCTGCTCTCCAGATGTGGACAGCCTGCTTCTCGTCCAGGAAGCTCTCAGGACTCTAGAGAGACAGAACGAGTCGGTCCTGAACCCAAGCGTCCCTCAACGCCAAATCAACCAGAAGTGGTCATGAGTCATTGCCCAGCTCCGGTACCTCACTAACACCTCTCCCTTCCTCCACCCCATCCGACCTCTGCTCCTGCCCTTCATAAAGAACCCAGTCAGAGCTTCTGCCTCAGCGGCACTATGGATCCCAACCCTCTCCCGCCTCATCACCACCAACTGTACACTGTCCGCCAACCTTCCCCAGCCCAGGCCCTTACTGGATCCCCCGAGTCGTCATCGAAGATGACCAGTGAGCTGCCCACATTGATGGAGATGGACTTCCTGCAGATGACGCCGGAGCTATAGCAGTTCACATCTTCCACCATCACCGAGAAGCTCTGCTCTGATGTACTCTGAGGGGAAGAAGAGAAGCCGGTCCAGCCAGGGAAAGGACTCGTCCTGTGAGAAGCACAGGAGAGGAGGCATCTTTGTGTGTGTGTGTGTGTGTGTGTGTGTGTGTGTGTGTGTGTGTGTGTGTGTGTGTGTGTGAGTGTTGGTGTGGAGGTGCATGTGTGTTTGTGTGTGACATGGTGGTAACCCAGGCAGCTATGTACAAGCATGCATGCACGTGCAATGTGGAAGCTGGGTGACCACCTTGGATGTCGTTATTGGATTCTGCCCACCTTGACAGTGAAACAAGATCTCTCACTGGCCTGGAACTCACTAAGCTGGCTAGGGTGGGCCAGGGAGCCCCAGGGAGATGCCTGTCTCGGGCTCCTCGGCACTTGAACTACAAGTTCAGCCCAGCTTTTATGTGAGTTCTGGGGATGATCTCAGGCCCCTACACTTGCAAAGCAAGATCTCTACGGACCAAGGAACTCGCCAGCCCTTAACCTCCGTCTCATCAGCTGTGTGGCTTTGGGCAGCTCATTTCAGTTCTCTGACACTCAGATTCATTTTCTGGCTGCCTAGTGCCGTGTTTAGCAGGTAGTGACTTTTCCAAAGGGTCTGAGGCATGAACGAATAAGTGAATGGGTGTAACGGGAGGAGAGGGGACTGTCTGCAGACAGTGTAAGTGCTCTGCGGGAAGCTTGCAGTACGGAAGGGTGGACACACATCACTTATCATGCAGCGCTTCCACTCCTGAGGACTAAGACATCGGTCACACAAGTGTTGGCTGCAGCACTGAAGGACTGCAAGCGAGCTAAAGCCCATCCATCCCCGTGCGGCACAGTACTCTCTGCGTGGAACGTTCCAACTGGCATTAAAAATGACATAGCGCGTACTGGCAGTGTGTGATAATACCCCATGGAAAAAGGAAACCGTGGAGTCTTATTCGTGTAAACTAAACAGTGTGTGTGTGTGAGAGAGAGAGAGACAGAGACAGAGACAGAGAGAGACTGTCTCAAAACTAATCATGGGACTACAGACCACGGTGTGTGTCTGTGGTCCCTCTGCTCAAGAGGTCATGGTGGGGACCACTCAAACATGAAAGTTTGAATTCACCTTGGGCAACATGGCAAGTCCTTCATCTCAAAACAAATAGACAAATAAAAACACTAAAATCAATGGCACAAGTTCAACAGTGTGTATCTTGTGGAGACAGACTCTAGCTCAATGCTTGTCCACAGACAAGACCCTATGAAAGGTTCTGTTTCACCCAGCATATGCGAGCCCTGGCCACAAAAATCAATAATAAATAAGTGCATGTCTGCTCTGTCGTTATGGTTATTGCCGATACTCATATAATGAGATGATTGGGCCTAAGAAAATCAGTGTCTCTGGAACATCCAGCATTGCCCCACATCCTGCTGGCACCCCTCTCCCTCTGGGGGACCCTTGCCTTCCCTGTGCCCCCCACATCACCCTTCCTCATCCTATCCATGAACAGAGTTTCACCACATGACTCCCGCGACCCAGCACTTTTCTAGTCCCGTTTCCTGGTTCTGTGGCTGCCTAGCTGTGTCACAAGCAAATTCTCTAACTTCCCCAGGCCCACAGTGTCCCATCTGTCACATGGGGACAACTAACCCAATCTGTCCACTGCCATGAAAATTAAGCGGGAGAATCCATAAACATGGTCAGTAGACCACCAGACCCACATTGCTACCGAAGCTTAAAAGGCAGGGCTCTTTCTAGCACAGACAGAAAAAGCATTATGACTAGTGGGCCAGGGCTGTGGTGGTGTGGGGACCGGAAGTAGGGTTTCCTTCACCCTGACCGGCTCCTCTGGAAGCCGCACTTCAGGGTTTAGATCTCCCTACCCACCCAATTATAAGGTAGCCTGGAGTCCAGCTCATTCACACATCTGACAGGTCTCTGTCCCTGGCTATTCTGGGTGTCCGTGGGGGCAGCTGGGTGAACACGCCCAGGAACTCACCTTGATCAGGTGCACTTTGCACGCCCCTACGAAGTCGAACGGAAGTCCATCAAAGGTACGGTAGTGTCGGTCCCCGTAGACGGTGCAGGTGGCGGCACAGGGGTGCAGGGTGCATTGGAACGAACCCCGCTGGCACACGCTGAAACACACCCACACAGAGGCAGCTCACAGAACACGGTTTACCCTGTGCTGGAATGCCCTTGAAGCTTTTGCCTGCTGAAGGCACGGGCTATGCCCCTCAAGAAGAGATTCCGCAAGTGTAGCAGCCTCCGGCAGGAGGAAGTTTGTGGCGCTCCTTTTATTACTCATTCATTCATTCAACAGATCACTGGTGATGGACACATCTCAGGCATTCTCCCAAGAATCTGAGAAACGTCAGTGAACAAAGCAGAACAAACACCCTCTGGCTTAGTGAACTTGTACCCTAGAGAAGAAGGACGTACCCTGTCTGTTTTAGCAGGCGGGTAGTGCTGTGGCGGGGGGGCGGGGCATGGAGAGAAACAGGGTGTGTTTAGGAGTGTGTCACCATTTTAAACAGGGTTGGCAGAGACGAGGGAGCAGAGACTTCCAGGAGCCGAGAAAGTGAGTTGCATGGACATTTGGAAGAAGAGCATTGTGGGAACAGGGTGCGGTCTATGATGACCTTGAAGAACACTCAGGTGATAACAGCCAAGATGGACAGCCCAAGGATAAGAAGGTAGAGAGGTTTGGAGGGCAGAGGAGGGCTGAGTGGTGCAGTCCAAGAAGGCAGGTGAGGGTGTGACTTCTTCCTAGGAACGAGAGAGGAAGCCTCTGGAGGACTGGGGTGGGGATGGCTCCATCTGACTGGGACTGGGCAGAGGGGAGGGAAAGGCCACCGGGGAGGCAACGGCAGCAGGTCAGAGAGGCCGGGGCTCGGTGCGGTCCCTGCAGTCGGAAGGTGAAGAAGTAGTCAGGTGTGAAGTCTGCTTTAAAGGCAGAACCGAAAGAGCCGAAGACTTCACTCTCTGACTAGTTCAAGCCAGCGAGATTCAATACTGTAACCCACCAGCTCCGGCCACCAGTCCTGAACTCCGACACCTGAGCATGTCTGCAAGGGGCTCCGGGTCCTGATCCTCCCCCCTGGGACTTCCTGTGTCAGACAGCCAGGGTGGTGCACACACACACACACACACACACACACACACACACACACACACACCCTGGTGTGTATGGAAACAATCTGGGAGCTCGGCCTTGACGGTGGCCATGCTGACACGGGAAGACACGTCCTGTGCATCCTCTGGGCTGAAGAAACAGCATTTCCACCATACACAAGACAGGAGCTGGGAGCCAGCGGTCTCTGGCTGGATGACTCTCTCAGGGTCTCTGCTAGGCTCCTGGGCCCCAGCCTGTCTCTACTGAAACCAATCTAATCCAGGTGCACACTTCGGTATATGCGTGCTAATATTACTGAATGAACAGTGTGGAAATACACCCACATACACACTCATTTTAAATATAAGCATTTCTGTATTGATAAGGCAAAACACAAATCACATATTCACACACATATCCATTCAAGTGGATGCAAATATATATTTAATGCACATTCACTGTAGTACATATATGTACTAAACAGATGTGTATGCATGTAAATATATATGAATACACCAATATACATATGTAAATTCCTAACTACTGTTATATTAGTGAATTTATTTAGCTCTATGACACTTGCCTTTTTATGTATGCCCACGTATGTTCACTCACATACCTTTATTCATACCCATACGTCTATATGTTCATTTAAATATGCAAACACATTTTCATGATTACAAACATGCAAGTATGTATGTTCATAGACATGTCTGACCATTCATTAAATAGTCACAAATATTCTAAGTATTATTACACATACATATACTGTGTGTACAACAGCCACTGTGAATGTAAGCAAGATGAAAGGAAAAATCATACCCTTTCCAGAAAAAAAAAAAAAAAAAAAAAAAAAAAAGAAGCCAGCTCAGGGGACTTACCAGGTGTGGCAGGAAGATACCACCTGGTCCCCAGGGAAATACTCCTTCCCCTTCCAGGTACATGGACACTCCTCCGGTGGGAAGCACGCATCCCCATGTCTGAGCAGGCTGGAGGGACACAGCAAGCAGTGATCAGAAGAGCACTCCTTCTAGATCTGCTATGATGTACAAAGGCCAGCCCACCATGGGCAGCACCATCCCTAGGCAGGTAGACCTGGGCATATAAGAAATGCTAGCTCTACATGAGCCGGAGAGCAAGCCAGAAAGCAGCCTTCCTCCACGACTGCTGCTCCAGTCCCCACCTGAGTTCCCGCCCTGACTTCTCTGTGATGGACTGTGATCTGGAAGTGCAGTCCAGATAAACTCTTGCCTCTCCCAGGTTGCTTTTGGTCAGAGTGGTTCACCACAGCAGCAGGAAGCAGACTAGGACAGACACAGACATCCCCAGCCCTTGTGGTGTCCCCAGGGTCCTTTGGGGGCAGTGCCCGGCACTGTCGATTCTTAGATGGACTTGGACAGACTTGGTGACCATGGTGACCAGGGAGCATAGAAGTAATTGCGAGTCCAGCGAGTCCTGGAGAGGAGTTGGTGATGGTGGAACTGGAGCATCTTTGAGAGCCCTTTCCCATCAGGAGAACTTTTCAGGATGGTGGAACTGTCTCCCTTGTTATAATTCCCCTTTGGTGAACCCCCTGTGGATACAGGTGGATTCCCCACAGAGTGTCCTATATACCCTCAAATGATCCTGAGCAGACCCACACCCAGAGCCAGGATTCAGTCCAGGCCTCTTTCTCGGTGTGGTCACACTCGGGACAGTAAAAGACCCTCGGCTCCTGACTGCAGAGACCTAGCCGTTCCTGACCTCAGACCAAAGAGCCAGGCTTGTGCAAACAGGACAGTATTCCCAGAGGCCTCCAGTGACACACTTCAAGGTCTGAGACCTGGATGGCTGCAGGTGAGGCAAGGTGAGGATCCCACACAGGCAAGTGCCCAAGTTAGGAAAGGAGCTGGCACATACCCCACACTGTGGACCCCACCACTCTGGGCAAGGAGCAGAGTTTTCAATAAAGGAGACTTGGTCTGAGTCTGGCTCCTTCAGCAGACTATTCCCCACTCTGGCCCTGGCCTGTGTTGTCTTTTGCAGAATAAGAGAAAGTACTTCCCTGCTTTGAGATTGACAGAGGTAACCTTAGTGCCTTATACACTTCAGAGCTCCAACGTGCCGTCTCTCGCCCCATCCACCCAGAAGCTCTGAACCTCATTTCATTCCCTTTGGTTGTCAGGCCAGAGCCAGGGCTCCCAAGTGACCACAAATCTCAACAGACTGAAGGGCACAACCCCATGCTGCCAAGTCATGGGACAGAGTGGTGCCCGGGGACCTCTTTGACCCAGACCTGAGAATGTCACTGGCGGAGGTGAGCATTGGGCTCTGGGTACAGAGCACATCCACAAGCCCAACTCCTGCAGCTGCCACACAGCCCCCATTCGGTATCTGGGGACCCAGGAAGGAGGCTGCTCTTGTTGGATGTGACTTTCTTTTGGGGTTATCCCAGGGGCACCCTCTCTACCCAAAGGTTCCAGTCAAGGACGGAGGCTGAGAGCCGACACAGGTTTTCTTGTGCCTGATCTTTGATCAGTGAGTCTCTCGGGCATTTGGGGCACATCAGACACCTGTCTTAGTGCTTCCACTTTGAGGCCTTTTTAAACCCACACGCTATGGTGCCGAGTATTACAAAGGAAACACTGAGCATCACAGCAGCAGGTGCTTTCCTCATCCAAGGTCACATGGTTCATGAGAAGTAGAACCTGACAAGCTCCGTTCCAGGCTAAGCTTCTTCTGTTTCTTCCCGAGCTCCCTACCGGCAACACAGCCACACTGCCTCCTCCATCCCAGGCTGTGGGAGGTCTTCCCCGCCCCCGACCCTGAACTCAGTTGATCTGTCACCCTTTAGGTAGGAGAGTTTGTAGCGACGTAGATCCGTACCCCTGGGGACAGGCACAGCCCGACAGGCAGGGACCACGTGCTGGCATGCTCAGGTTCAGCAGCTGCTGCTCACAGGTCCTCTCCCTGCTGAGCTCAGGGGCCGGGGTCGGATCACTGCAGTTCACAAAGACCTGGCCTGCTGGACAGGACGCGGCTAGAAGAAAAGGGGGTAGATGCTGCAGACCCCCGGCCTGGGCTGGAGGTGCTGCTACGTGGGTGACCGGAAGTGAGGGACAGCTTCTGGGCATAAAGTGGATTCCCATATCACAGGACAGCCCCCCCTCAGCAGCACCCATTACCAAAGAGGACCTCTTAACGGAGGCTGCACCATGCATTCCCTGCACACTTACCTTACTTTCTATTGCAAGTGCTGTGCGGGTGTCCCCATCTCCCTCTCACATGACATTAGGAAAGCTATTCTGCTGTCTAAAGGCAGCAGGAACCAAGAGGAAGGACCCCAGAAGGACCAGGAGAGGGACCCAGAAATAGACAGCCACGTAGTCTAGAAGGGTGGCCAGGGAATTGTGAACAGGGAAAGTCAATTGCCTGCGCATGGTTCTCTGATCCATCCCTCCCATCCCCCTTCTTCAGCAAAATCTGCCATGCAGGACGGTCACACTTTGTGTGAGCGATTGTTTTAGGAAACCCCATAGAAGGCGGGAAAGTTCCGTGGCCAGGAGAGCACAGAGCAGAGAAGTGAAGAGCCAGATCCCAGAGAGGCAGAAATTCCAAGCCCGGAGAGACCCAAGTAAAGACGCTCCCGGGAAGGCACGGGTAATGAGGATGGGATGGAGGCTTATCTGGGGAAGGGGAGGTGAAGGTTCACAGAGGTGAGGCATGTCACCCAGGCCTGCAGAGCTGGCGGGGGCAGGGCAGGACGTGAACACAGCTGACCCCACCCCAAGGCCTCTTAACCACCTGCCACAGGCTGACTGTTGCTGTCCTCTGTGCCCACCCCTGCCCTGTTCTCAGTGGGCTTCTCTGCTGAGAATGTCCAACCGTCCTGCTCTGCCCGCCTCCAGACACCTCACAGCTGCCCACCGCTGTCCCAGCCCTGCCCTAGCTCTGTGCTGTGGAGACACCCACAGCCGCCACCACTGTCCTCTCTCTGTGCTGTGGAGACACCCCACAGCCGCCACCGCTGTCCTCTCTCTGTGCTGTGGAGACACCCACAGCTGCCCACCGCTGTCCCAGCCCTGCCCTAGCTCTGTGCTGTGGAGACACCCACAGCCGCCACCACTGCCCTCTCTCTGTGCTGTGGAGACACCCACAGCCGCCCACCACTGCCCTCTCTCTGTGCTGTGGAGCTATAAAGTCCAGTCCTCTCCTCTCTTCGACCCCATATCCACCACTGGCTTGGGCAGAACCAGTCTCAGAAGATACTTGGCAGCTCAGACTAGGAAAATTCAGGACCAGCAAAGATAAGCAGCGGCTCAGACCCCCACGTGCCCCCCAACAGTGTGAGGCCGGGATGGGGTTTCAGGATGCCACTCTCTAAGCTGGGACCTTTGCCAAGAGTGTAGGAACACCAACACCCAAGGCAGGGTGAGCTAGAGTAGCTCCCCCATCCTGACCAGCACCCCAGTTCTTCACTCTTTTCTCCCCCTTCTACCCCAGACTCCCCCCTTTCAGCCCTGCTCACCTGGGGCTTGGCTGTCACAGCTCATGACTCCATCTCTGCAGTGGCTGAAGAGAGTTGGGGAATTACATCAGCCGGGCCAGTCATTCGGGACCCACCCAGAACATGCTATTGCCCTTGGACCCTGTGGGCTTCAGACAGTCAGCCCTACCTGCTCCCCCTGCTCCCCACCAGCACCCCACACAGAGTGAGAGGGTGGGTGCTACTTCTCACGCAGCCGAGACCCAAGGAAGCTCACCAGTGGCCCAGGGAAGGGATGTCGCTGTCCCCAGGGGGATAGTCCACTCCTTGGAAGTGGCAAGAACATTGGTTCCTACAAAAAGCAAGGAGGAATAGAGCAGACTCGGGAATAGGAATGGAGCCAGCCAGGTCAGGCGGCCCGCCATCGGTCTGCTGCAGGCATCAGATGTGGAAAGAGGCAACAGCAGTTCCTGGGATGAACGCGCCTCCGGGGGACCAGAAAACCCACCCGGTGCTGAAGTCAGAGGCAGAACCCAGTGCCAGGTTGGAGGTCGTATTTTGAGCTTATGTAAGCATTGACCCTCCCAGAAACAGGCTAACTCAGAGCCAAGATCAGAGAGGTGACCTGCTCAGAACTCCACCTCCCAGCCCCAGTCCATTGTTCTGGGGTGATGTCGGAGCCCTGCTGGCCCAGCATCTGCCCTGACTGGTCAGTGACTCTTCTGGCGCTTGGCTGGAGACTCAGGCTCGGCCCTCCCAGGCAGTGTCTCCTGGATTCCCCTCTGGGATCTTGGGAGGTAAGGATGTTACTGTGCCTGATCCTTTGTCTCATCTGAGCTCACTGGCTGATGTCTTTATCACACAAGCCCTGTAGCCGATTCCAACACTGCTGGTCTTACATCAGAACAGGCCAGGGCTTGGGGACCCGTGGGAGTGACCCTGGAATCCTCCTTCTCAGTGCTCTCCAGCTGCTCCTCGTCTTCCCTGTTAGCTCACAGGGGCCTTTATTAGGGGCAATAGTGGGCGCTCAGCTGAGACCTAGGGAGGGTCCTGCAGTGTGATAAGCCTGAGTGATTCCCCTGGCCACCTAAGGGGGTAACTCCTTCCCCTCATTACTGGAAAACCTCGTAGTGATTAATAGGCCATTTTACAGACAGTGAAACTGAGGCCGAGAACCCAGGATCCTTGCCAGTCATCCTGAGATCGTGTGGGATCACCATCTACTGCTCTTCCCACACTACCTCCAGTCCCACTGAGCCAGCTTCCTCCAGCTGGGCTACCTCACCTCAGACTCCCTCCCTGCCTTCCCTCACCTGGGGCAGGGGCACTCAGATGCCACTTCTGCCTCACCTGTGTGTGACTCCTGGCCTTATCCTCTGTGTGGCCTTCTTGCTCTCCTTACCACCCCAGCGCCCTAAGTGCCTGTTTTGGGGGCGTCTATCTTGCCAGCTTGGATTGTGGACTTGGGGAGCTACACTCTACTCTGTTCACTACTGGATGGATTCTCAGAGCCTAGAAACGTCCAGAGCATGCTAAGACGTACACAGATGTTCACGGAAAAAGAGAGCTGGGGAGAGTGAGGTGCTGTGACTGGTTCATGTTTCACAGGAAGGAAAGCGGGGCCTAAGAACAGGTTCAGAAGAAGGAGCAGATCACCTCTGCCAACAAGGCCCAGGAGAGGGTGAGGGGAAGCAGGGAGGTCAGACCAGCTGTCCAGAGCAGAGCCCAGTCTCACACCCAGGCACCAGGCTGGCCCCTCACCTGGGGACACAGAGGTCTGCTTGTGTGTCCAGATACGTGTCCGGCGGGCAGGTGCAACCCTCCACACACTCATCCCTGCTGAAGTTGCCACCACCATTAGCCTCACAGACATCAGGGCTGGCCAGGTCCTGGCAGGTTTGTGCGCACAGGGCCACGCATGGGCTGTACTCCTTGGTGGCCTCACAGGACAGTGCTGTCGGGAGAAAGGCTGAGCGTGGTCTCTCTTCTTCCCACAACCGTGTGGGGTGGGTTTAACATTTTGATGAGAAAAACTGAGAATCAGAGAGGGTAAGACATTTGCCCCCACCCTGGTCACATAGCAGTTCAAGGTCAAAGATGCCTCTCATTGTACTGAAATGCCAGAGCATCACTACATTCAGCTTGGAAAAGGCACTGATCTTAGATCATGATTCCGGGGGAGGAGTGGAGGTCAAGACCCCAGTGGCTCAGCATCCAGC